GCTTGCTTAAATGTTCGAGGGTGCTGTCTTATGAATTTGCATACCTCGAGGATGTACAAGCACGGTAACGTGAGGATTTTTAGTTTTTTAAAATATGGCCTACAAGATACGTCCGGAGCGATATCACATATGGACCTAATGCACCGTTTTTGTGCTATAAAGGCCTTATCTATGTCTGTACCGTTACCCCATACCAACAACCCATACCTTAACACAGATTCGACATACGCAAGGTACGCTGTACATGCTGTCATTTGGCAAGATACTTTTGCCAGTTTGTACAGAGCGAAAGAGAATCCATTTATCCTGTTTGCGACTTTGTCTATATGTTCCTTCCAGTTAAGTTTATCATTGATAACTATGCCAAGAAATGTCGTATTGTTAGCCATCGAGATGCGCGGTTATAATCTGCAGGGAGACTGTAGGGATGCAATTTTGTTTCAAATTGGAGTCAGCGACTGCGGAAATAAGTAATTCAAATTACAGAACAAAAGATACTGTAATAATGTTGCTTTCTTGATAAAAATGTGAGCCAAAGCAGCGGTCAAAGGAATATGATGTTGACACTGTCAAATCATGATGTTATTAGTGTAAAGTGTAAACTTTTGCTTCTAGTCTATAAAAGATTGCCCCGCGTTTATAACATCATCGAGAATCTGATTAAAACGCTTACCGCTGACTTTCTGTCACGTTTTTTGTCAATTTAGATTAAGTACGTAAATACTTTCAAACCACATACTCGTAGTTTTTATTTGCCTCTAAGAACCCGATTTTTATGAGAAACACCAATGGAAGTACGAAAAGTGGGCGGGTAATTTAGTTTTAGGTATGACGTCATCACAAAATAATCGTAGAATTGAACAATTCACGTAAACATTGTATCATAGTGTAATTTAAACCTCATTACAAAGACAAATAAACCGAAACAATGGAGCAACCTCCGGCGACATGAATACGATCTATTGATAATAATGGCTAATTAGACAACCATGTTAGATGGTCGCTCGACCTATAAATTCTATTGGTGTCGTGCACTGCAGTACACGTTTATTAAACATATTTAAATTTATAAAACAAAAGAACCAAACAATAACAGACGACTAAATATACTAAAAATCCTGTTAACATCTCTATTAAAAAAGGTTATGTTGGTGTGGCTGCGTACGTTTCAAAAACTCAAAAAGTTCCGTACCGATTGAGCTCCAATATTGACACAATCTACAACACGCTACAACGATGGTTTTTATCTATTTTTTTAAACACAATGTACCAGGGTATAGCTAGTAGTTCATAAATGCGAAAGTTTGCCAACCAAGTAAAGAAAAAATCTAAGTACTTTTGTTTTTATTTCAGTAAACTGCTAATACGATATTTTCGCTTATACGAGCCGCTACACACACGCTGTAGGAGATCGGTTATACGAGGGGTGATCAATAAGTAATGATAATCGAGTATTTCTAGAACGCACAAAAACCCAAATTATTTTTTTTCTGCTTGCTTGTATATCCACTACTTCAGCTTCAAAAAAATGTATAAATAGGACACCATTACCGGGAGTTACATTTATTTGAATACGAACTGTCGAAGAGAAAACATCAAAATGGAGAAAAATGAAATAAGAGCTGTCATCAAGTACCTCTGCCTGAAAAAAATGTCTATGTAGACATACACAGCGACTTAGAGGAAACATTGGGGGAGTCTGCTCCTTCATATTCCACAGTCGCACGCTGGGCAAAGGAATTTAAGCTGGGCAGAACCTCCACTGAAGATGAACATCGCGAGGGACGCCCTTCCACGTCCCTTACTGGAGAAAAAGTCAAAAAAGTGGAAGATATCGTGTTGGCCGATCGAAGGGTGACCGTAAGGCATGTAGCTGAGGTCACAGGGATCTCCTATGGCAGCGTTCAAAAAATCATTGTCAACAAAATGCAAATGAAAAAGGTCTCTGCGCGTTGGGTACCGAGAATGTTAACCGACGAGCAAAAAAAGAAACGAGTCGACATTTCGAGGGTGAATCTCCAAAGTTCCAGGCCGATAAAGAATTTTTTTTGTCGCGTTTTGTGACCATGGACGAGACCTGGATCCACCACTTTGATCCCGAAACCAAAACAACAATCAATGACTTGGAAACGAGCTTCCTCACCAACGCCGAAGAAATTTAAAGTGTCAAGTTCAGCGGGAAAGGTTATGGCGTCTGTTTTCTGGGATGCAGAAGGAATTATTATGGTGGAATATTTGGAAAAGGGGGCCACTATAACAGGCTCTTACTACGCAGGCCAAATAAGAAGATTGCGAGAAGCTATTAAGTCAAAAAGACGCGGTAAACTGCGCGCTGGAGTGCTGTTTCACCAAGACAACGCCCCGGCTCACAAAGCCGCAGTTGCGATGGCTGCCATTGAAGAAACGGGGTTCGAACTGCTTGAACACCCTCCCTATTCGCCAGATCTAGCTCCCAGTGACTTCTACCTCTTTCCTCGGCTCAAAGAACACCTCCGGGGCAACAAATTTGAGGACAATAGTGAAGTGATGGCCGCAGTAGAGGCATTTTGGGAGGGTCAAGACAAAGATTTTTTTTCTAAGGGAATCATGGGCTTAGAAAAAAGATACACTAAATGTATTAACTTGCAAGGAGACTATGTTGAAAAATAAAATACTTTTTTTAATCTAATAGTTCTGTTTCATATTGATTATCATTACTTATTGATCACCCCTCGTATATAGAGACGTGTTTAGGCTTTAGGTTTGCTATTTATAATTAAAAAATAGTTAAATTTATCGGTTAATTTTTGAGAAAAAACATATTTACGCAGAATTGTTGGCCCTTTACGTGATTTTCGCGGGCCGCTCATTGCTTACCCTGATATTCATATATTAGAGTGTTAGAGCAAACAGTGGCCCCCACATCACTCCACACTGTGATCATCCATATCTCTTTGTTACACCTCGTGTAACAAGCCTTTTAAATCGCGAGAATAACAAACCTACCTAAAGGCCCTTTTTCCTGCTAGCGGCAATACCCAGAAGCATTGCACTCGTTCTTAAACTTTTGTCCTGGCTAATTCGACATTTTAGGTATTGGATTTAAGTCTGTACTGATAACTTATCACCTACTATTACTGTCATGTTGAACTAAAACCAAAGCTAGGATACAAACCGTATTTTATGATATTCTTACTGCAATCTAGATTGGATTCAGCTATCACTCGGCTACGACGCGGTAAAACTTAGATTTGCCATCAGACCTCCACGAAGTAAAGTATTAGACGATATCGACGTTCTGTAAAAAGACTGTCGTCACAGATTGCCACAGATGTTCGTGTGGCAACCAGGACCGACGGCTTAACGTGCTCTCCGAGGAACGTTAGGCCGTCGATCTTCATCCATTTGAACATATACGTTTTAATTATTCCTCACAGACGCATTAACTGAGCTTCGCTCATCGTTCGTGTTATACACTTTTACTTCATAATTAACCGTTCGAGATTATAAATTAATAAATGTAAAACGTCTTTGATCACGTAATTAAGGGTTCCACTGGAGTGATTGCACCGGAACACTAAGCGACGCCATAACTCGACGTAAGACTTCAATGCGTACTTGGAATTTTTATTTTCTTTAAATGAAAGAAATACAAAAACTTTATAATTATAAATACACTTACGCAGTAATAACTATCACGAGAGCTTCATGTGAACACCAGTTACTGATTTAGTAGTTTTTTTCTGTATCGTAGTTAATCTTCTTCTCTGACTCTTCTATATGAAGTATGACTTTAAGTCGGAAAGTAGTCGGTTTTCTCCAAACATTTAGTAACTTAGAAATATGTGTAACCACTATATTTTATGTATGATGTAGAACCAAGTCACGACCAAGAAACATAATATACATTGTAAAAAGAATTAAATGAAAATTTTGTGTTTGTTACCACTTAGATACAAAAATACTTAACCCTTAATTTGGCACGGGTTCCAAGTGTTATATATTATACAAAATTCTTTATGTTTGTATTTCTAGTGTACATAACAACAGGAAAAAAATTAGAAAAAAAATCTACTCCCTTCAGGTTTTCAGGAAACCAATGTTTACTACAGTGAACGTTGCGAAGTATGGTACAAACTACCATTGAATTGCAATGTTTACTGTGATGAACATGATCAAATTAGGTTACAAATAAAATAGCTTTATTATTGTTGAGTGTTTTTAATTATATAGAAAAAGAAAATAAAAATAGACAAAAACAGTGTGAAAAAAAAGAGTTTATGTGGGTATTATTATATTTTAGTATGAAGGTTTAGGAAACAATTACGAGAATTTCTACCTGTGACGAAACACAATCTCATGTTACATTTTAAACAAAAAACAGTGGTGTTTTTCTGGCAAAATTTGCACCTACCCATGTCTTCTTTCATGCTCGGAAAATGACCAATATTGTCATAACGTATTGGGCTTATAGGCCTGGGTAATTTAGGATTTTTTACTAAACAACTTTCACCCATATTTTCTATATTTACAGGTCTATTCTTTTTGGTCAAACTGAGATAAAGCTCATGTCGAAATATTTTCAATGATTTTTTTTTCTTGTCCTTTGTATTTGTTGGGTTTGTCTTTCATGTATTGTTTTCTGCTACCCGCTTTTCACCCCTTATACGGAATCATCATTTCATCTATACTAAATTTTCTTTCTTTTTCTTGCTTCAAACAGTTTTCCCTTATTTTTTCTGCAACAGGCCTTATTTTGTAATATCTATCGGAGTCTTCCAAGGCATTGTCGGCAAAATGGAGAAATCTTCGAATTTGTTGATAACGTTTCAACGTCATTAGGTCTGCTATGGGAGCATACCGGAATCTACCGCTCCAATAGTCGAGGTATGAAGGCAATATTACAATGCCCATAAGGATGTGGATGGCTAAAAAATCTCGTAGCTCATCTTCTATAACTTGTATGGATTTTCCAGTTTGTTGTACGGAATAAAGGCTTATGTGTTCTGTAATATCAGCTACTATGTCTTGAGAAAAAAATAAATTAAAATAATAAAAAGTATCGTCATTGGATGGTACGGAGTCGGTACGGTATCAATTATATCTTCGTAATTTTCTTCAATTGTGGCTCGGTGATGAAAATTGGTGCTTTTTTTCCACTTATATGTGAGGATAAATTTCGGAACCCTTCTTGTTCTCTTGGCAACTGGGGCAATTTGCTTTTGGGCTCTTGTCTTCCTTATAGTTGACGTTTCAAGGGTTGAGGAAGGAGCTACAGATGGAAGAGACAGTATAGAAGATAGTGATGGGATATTTTCGTAATTAGGCTCTCTGGTCGGTGTAGCTGGACATATATCGCGTAAAACTGGACTCAATTGAAGTGCTACGGATGGATATGGTTCGGAATGGTTATCGTCATCATTGTTACTATCTGAAGATTCACAACTGCTCAGTATATGCATGCGCTCTAAAGATGAGTCTAGAGAAGGTGGTGAAGATGAAACTAAGCTTGGGGAATGCAGATCTACCAATTCGTTATCGCTATTTGGGTCTGATTTGTCACTAGTCTCTGAAGGTGCATGCTGCATAGGAATAAGCGCTAATATTTTTGCAGTGCGTCCTTGTATTTTATGCTGTTGGCAACCAAAAACACCAATGTAAGCAAAATGATAGCGGCAACCAGAAACAGATTTTACATTTTTAAATTACTTACTGGATATTTAGCATTGTTCACCGAGATGAACACAACAAATTGCAATTAATTTATAGTGTATTTGACTATGTTCATCACGATGAACATTAAGTTTGTCGTTATCTACAAGTTCGGAGAGCACATGAAAGTACACAGTTTACTCCCAAAATAATAGTGAAAAGTTTAGAGAAATTAGCAAAGGCATTATAACATCTGAAAACATGCATAAATCAAGAAAACAATTTTAATTACCTTACGAAGAACAGACAATCTGCCAGTCGCTGACATTTTGCTTTGTAAGTGACAGTTACATTGTTGCTTGAGACATAACATATTTTTATACTATTAAAAATATTTAAGCACCATGATATAATGATAAAAAAATACGATTTTAGTTAAAAAATATCAGCAAAACATTTTTTTTTTAATATGTTTCTCACAGTAAACATAATCGAATTAAGGGTTTAAGGTCATCAACTCAAAATATTCACTTGCTTTTTTCTGATTTTACCAAAAATCATTAATCGTCAGCTGAACCGTCTTTTTTGTATCTTGTTATATAAAGGTACCTACGTTCGTAACAACTTCTATAAAGTAGAGAATGGAGCCGGCGTAATTTAAGTAATCTCTGATGCTGAGGCTGCAATTTCCGCTCTGTAATACTCGCCGTTCTCGGCTATATGCTAGACTGTGTAGCTAAGTCGATAGTCTGTCAGTTGTTCATGTATAAACTTTACATGTGTCGGATGTCGACATGAAGTAAGCAGTTGTTAATGTAGTATACGCCATGCAGAACGACACAGAACTTTACATTGTTAACAAACACAATGACAGACATCGTGGAGACACGCATATATTACGGGTTAAAGTATGAAATTGCCGATTTTTACTGAAAAATTAAAACTTGTTTTTTTCTAAGATGTCACATATTTATTTAATCACAATATTTACCCTCATTATTTATACATTGCTACTATCTAAACAAAAGTTCATTTACGCCCTTACGATAAAACTCTGGGGACCTAGATTCGACAAACTGTGTTAAACATTTTGTACTGCCTCCTGGGAAGATTTCTTTTGTTACCTAGAGAATTGTCCAAATTACGAAAAAAATGGTAGTCCATTGGAGCAAGGTCTGGCGAGTACGGAGGATGACGTTTGGTTTCTAAGTGCAGCTCCTGTAGAGTTACAACGGTTTGTAATAATAGTTCAAGAGAGTTTCACAATTCAGCTGTTTCACTGCCAGTTTCGCCATCATTATTCGAAGATCGGCACACTTAACATCTGCTGTTATTGCCTGATCAGACCTGAGAAATCTATATTGAATAACACCATGAAGAGACCACCAAACTGTTACCATTACCTTTTTATTGGTAAGCTTTGCTTTAGAGCACTGTTGCGGGCGTTTGACGTGGGGTTAGCCTTTGCATTTTTCGCGTACGGTTATCGTAAACAATTCACTTTTCTTCATATGTCACAATTCTATCTAATATTCCTTCATTTCTGTACCGATTCAATAAGGCAACACAAGTTTAACTATTCAACTTATTGTCCCAGACGGTTAATTCTGTAATTTTGTGTGTTTACCTACACTTGTTACACGTTTGGTTAGTACCTTTTACGATAGCTAACGTCATTATCAACAAACTTTACCAAATTTTTCTATCAAAGTGACAAGATGTAGGCAGCATTAGAACTATTGCCTTTTTCTTGTTCGGAAATGAGGCTACAAAATTGTCATTTTGGCAACTGATGCTTTTTATGTAATAAACTACTTAGAAATGATTTTTTGAAATGTTACCCCTAAGGGGTAATATAAGAGATGAATATTTATATGGATATTGCTTCTGGTGAAAAATAGATGGATTGAATTATTAGACATACAGATGGATGGATAGAAACGAACACATGTAATGAGGTTTTGCCAAATTTAACCACCAAAAGGGGTAAATTCGGGGTGGAAAGTTTACATACAAACATCGTCATTTTTACAGTAAGAGGTATGAAATGAGAGAAGGAGGGAAGGCACTTTAAAGAAAACTAAAACATGCTTCTTAAATATAGTTGAAGGAAAAAAACCATGAATTTCAAATATTAAGTTTCTTATCTTATATTAAGTTTCTTATCTATAAATATAACTGGACTTAACCCATCAAAGTGTTCTATTGTTACATTTACAAGAAAATATACCACCGTTGAGTCAGAATAAACATTGAAGAGACAAAAGCCTAGAAGTCATAGGGTTCGTGATCTTTGTCTAATATACGATACGAAACTACTCTTTGATGTATCTTCTACCACCTTTATACCTGTTTTATGCAAATAATAAATGATTTTGATTTTTTTTGATTTTTGATGAGCATGCGGGCAGTATAGTAAAGGAAGCGTGCCGGTCATTAGGGTTTGTGATGCGAATATATAGTTGTTTTAAGGATACGAAACCATTCAAAATACTACACCGTACATATGTACGCACATAAATTATCATAAATTGTGTGCAAAATTTCACCTTTTCCCTCTCACTGAGCGGCATGCACAAGCTGACGTTGTCTAATTACTTAAAATAATTACTAACGAGGTTGATTGCCCCGAACTTCTTGGGCAAATTGGGTTTAAGGCAAGGTAGTGTGTGTAGTTGTGTAAAATACAATATACACGGTCAATCGTACGCTACTACACAATTTAAAAAATTGCACCGACGTTGTACATCCTTTTTAACAAAATGAATCTATTTGCTGGGAGTTATTGGCGGCTACGAGTTGTTATTAACTATTATTAAGCTCCACAATACCGTTCGTGTTCGCTTGTATTTACGCTGTGATTCATTCGCTACGCGATATTAAGACGCTGCTGTGTGGCTCGTTACTGGTGTGGATGTACTGAACACTGAGATGTACACACACCAGCGCGCGATGATGGCGGAGCGGTTATACGGGTCTGTCACGCGCAACACGCACGGAAGAGACCTTGGACAAAATGCCACGTTGGCAAAGTTTCTAAATGTACATTTAAGATGGCGCACTTTGTCACTAGTGCACCAACTTGCGGGGTTCTATATAATTTGGAAATATTTACTTCTGTAACATAGAATATAATAAAAGTTTATGTGTTGGGATACCGCAACGAGTTGCGATGCTGTAATCTAGTATAATCACATAGTGTAGGTAAGTCAGGAATCAGGTGCAGTAAAGATGGATCCGGCTTGTCGTACAGCCCCTGGAATATTATTTATCTCGGTGGTTAGACAAACTAATATATATTGCTATCTGTGACCTCACTGACCCATGATTGAATTATTCGTTTGTATTTGTGTAGAGGTCGGGTTGATTTTATCTGAAAAGCATTTTTTATAAATTCGATTTTGCCTTGAATAAATTTAAATGTATGATTGGAATTTATTATTTACGAAAGTTGTAGAGGTTGTTGTTTTCAATAGTCGAAATAACAGAAAATATTTTAGCCTATTGAATATAAATCAAAACACAATATTTATTTATTCAATACAGAATGATACTAATACTACAGAGACTAATTATACATAATTGGTGTTTTTTATTAGATTTACATTGTAATAACTCGTTAAATATATCTATAATTTTATGTCATTAAAAGTAATTGTAATTTAAGAATAAAATTATATAAACGTCGAGACCAACAATTATAATAATTTAGTATCAAAAGAAACTAAAACTATTTCAATCGGTCTATTTCCATTTCATCAGTAAAAGAAACAGTTTATTTGTATCCAGTGAAGAGTCAACAAGTCGACACACTATTACTCAATAGACAAGTCGACGTCGGGTTCTTAAAGTTTTGTTATAAATACTGGCTGGATTTATTTGTTCTAAGTCTAAACTCTGTTTAACTAAACATATCGAAATTTTACGATACTTACATATTTATTAGAGCAAGCGTGGAATAAATAGAGAAATAAATAGGTTATTATTGTAAATTAGTTATTGTAAAACAGATAGATTACAACTTTTTGTTCAGAAATGATCTAGCCAGCCAATCCAGCCAAATTAAAGGTCTTTTATGTAAATAACGTGATACTTAATATTAATCATTACTAATAAGTAGGCAGAAGTCAGACATAAGTTAGGTGTGATTACTGAACATGCTTAAGTTTTAAATAAACTGGTGTGACGTGAACGTTTAACACATTAAGTCGCACTTAACGCTGCGCTGGGGGACGCACTTAATGACTCGCAAGTGACACAGTGTGTGACACGCGTCTTGTTCAAGTGTCGCTTACACTTTGTACCTACTACAGAGTTCCTTACAACTTATTCAACGAGACACTTTGAAATACCCTCGGTGTATCATCATGTTCTTTAATAAATATTAGCGAAGAATATTAGCAAGAATGAAGAAAAATGATTTAGCTAACATATGTAAAATAACCTATGTTCACCAAATAAATAAATTTAATTAAATTGATATCTAGTCTTCAAATTTTACATTATTCTAAACTATCCCCTTCTTCTTCTTTCTTAAATTACTTCGTCATCATAAACATAAGAAAAATAAAAATATACATAAAATAAATCAACCTGTAGTGTACGTAATCAAAACATCTGCCTATCAAACACAAACAATACTCAATTTATGTGAGGATTGGCTTGGCTTCTCATTTAATCTACGCAGCACGTTTAGTATTGTAGAAGTATGGTGGCAGTACGCGAGCTTTTGATATACTCGTACATATTACGTTGTAAATATTAATGATGCTATTCGATGCTAAGGTTAGATTTATTGTTACAGAGTGTGAGGTGGCGCGCGCAGGATGTGCGCGTGCGCGTGGCGCTTGCACGTCTTCACCGCTGCCATCGTGCTCGCCGCGCATCTTATTAAAGGTAGGAAGCAAGCTCATTGAACAAAATACCTTCTTTAATTAAGTTCCTCATAACTTTATTATACATTGATAAATTTAACTCTTTGCCAAATAATTATCCATAAGACTACTAAAGCTTATAACATTGTTGGCACTTTAGGTGTTGAATACACACGCCACACATTTTGCTGCCTCTGTTAGCTTCATAACCTGTTCGAAGAGTGAAACGCCAATTCCAGAGGCCTGTTTATTATTAACTAACAATATCAGCGCCCTAGATCAAAATAACAGTCGTAACAGCGTCCGCGAGAACATTCGCCGAGAGCCACGACTCCATTCCACGCTAAAGGCCACCCATTCCCAGCATTTATTGTGTGTTATCAAAAGAAATAGCACAGTCGGGCTGTAATCTCGGTCTTTGTGCCTCCCCTGACCTTAACGTCAGATTTGTAAT